CATTGCCCACCATCCAGTCAGAGCTGAAGAAGCTTCTTGGATGAGAAGCGAAACGTCTTCAAAGAAAAACAAGGAAGTCCAGTGGCCTCCTAATGAAAAAGCACCTTTGGGACCAGGCTTTCAGACATGCACCAAGACCATGGTGATTCCCTCAATTTTACTACAGAAATTCGGAGAGGATTACCAGGACCTCAGCAACTCCAGTATGTCCCTGTGACTCTGCTCAGAAGAAGGATCTCAGGGAACTTAAGGGAACCTGAAAGGTGTCACGGGACGAAAAAACTCTTCAGAAAACAAAGGAGAAGATGAAGAAGGCCCTTCTCTCTCCTACAGACAGCCCAATGATGTCTGAGCGTGCTGATTTGTGGAGGCGGAGATGGAAAAATCAAAAGAAAAGCAGAATGGGAGGAGAAAGGAAAGGAATGGAAAGGGGGTGGCTGACTGCCTGGTTGGACCCTGGCCACCTTTTGCGGGAGCTCTCACTTACGATGGGAACCAGACTTCTTGTCTGAATCGTTGCAGGGAGATCAAGTACCTGATATCTGTCTTGGTGAGAAGAGTGTAGGCATAGAAGACGGGGGTGTAAGGAATGTCATCTCCTCGAAGATTGAAGAGCCCTAAGGGAAAACAAAACAGACTGTCTCTAATATTTCCCTCGGAAAACCAGGAGAGCCATTTAAGCAATTAGAGGAAGAGAGGAGAGCAGAAGAGGAACAGGGAAGCAGCCAAGGACACCCGGGGAGCCAGGAAGAAGAGCTTGAGACATGGCTGGGAAGAAGAGGTAGCTAGAGCAGTTGCTGAGTGAGTTTTGCCCCATTTTACAACCTTCATTGCTATAGTTGTTGAGTGAATCGCTGCAGTTGTTCAGTTAGTAACTCGGTTGTTAAGTGAATCTGGCTTGCCCCACTGACTTTGCTTGTCAGCAGGTCTCAAAAGGGAATCCGGGAGACTGTGATATAGAGAAGGAAGAAAGGAAGGAAGGAAGGAAAGGAAAGGAAAGGAAAGGAAAGGAAAGGAAGGAAGGAACACACGCGCGCACACACATGTATAAAAATATATAAAGAAAGAGACATTGATAGAGATATATATTAAATAGAGAGAGAGAGAAAGAGAAAGAGAGAGAAAGGAAGAGAGGGAGAGAGAGAGAAAGAGAGAGAAAGAGAGAGAGAAAGGAAGAGAGAGAGAGAAGGAGAGAGAAAAAAAGGGAAAGAGGGAGAGAGAGAGAGAAGGAGAGAGAGAGAGAAAGAGAGAAAGGAAGAGAAAGGGAGAGAGAGAGAGAAAGGAAGAGGAAGAGGGAGAGAGAAGGAGAGAGAGAGGTAAAGGAAGAGAAAGAGGGAGAGAGAGAGAGAAGAAGAGAGAGAGAGAAAGAGAAAGGAAGAGAGGGAGAGAGAGAAAGAGAGAGAGAGAAAGGAAGAAAAATGAGAGAGAGAAAAAGAGAGAGAAAAAGGGAAATGGAGAGAGAGATAAAGAGAAGGAGAGAGAAAGAGAAGGAGAGAGAGAGAAAAAAAAGAGGGAGGGAGAGAGAGAAAGGAAGAGGGAGAGAGAGAGGAGAGAGATAGAGAGAGAGAAAGGAAGAGAGAGGGAGAGAGAGAGAGAGAGAAAGAGAGAGAGAGAGAAAGGAAGAGGGCGAGAGAGAGATGATAGATATTAACTGACTTACATGCCGTCTCCTCAAGGCCAGAGAGCAAGATTGCTGTGGGCTTCTTGCTGTGTTCCTCCATCTGCTTCCGAGCACTGGCAACCTTCTCTTGCCAGGTACTTCCTAAAGGAAGAAAAGGTCATAAGAATGGAAGGTCTGACTGATGAAAATGTCAATCTCCAGGCCTCCGCTACAAAAGAACATCCAGTTTGGCCCAAGAGAAAAAAACAAAAACAAAAAAACCCCTTTTTCTTATGGCCTGCAGTGATGCTTCCATTAAACAGCAGAACTGATAGACGGCCAATTTAAGGTAAGGAGGATTGCCCTAAGACCACTTTTCTCAAATTAAGGTGTTTCAGAAATATTGCAGGAGAAGAGCAGACAGAGCTGGGGGTGGGTGGAGTTAAATGTGTCATCAGTTTAGAGCCCTGATGTTGCCACAAATGATCCAAGCCCAACCCGAAATCCAACTTCTTTTGAATTTTGTTGATCCTCATCTGTCACCAATTTATTACTGAACTTTAGTTGATTTAGGCTCTTGAGTGCAGGCTTGAATAAATCTTCTGTACCACAACTTAATGAATGGTCCTGATACTTCGTGCCTGACAAATATTGAACTGCAAACATCCTTCGTCTCTAGTCAAAATGGCCCAGTCTCCACACCAGTCTCCCCTCGTCGCTTTGTTTGTGCCCCAAATATACCCATGAAGTCATCTGCGAGGCGATAGATTGTGTTGGTGGGTGGAGGAAGCCGCTCGCTGCCCCACACGAGGTCCACCAGGTTAACTTCTAGGAACTCCAAGGTCCTATTTGTACCTTCCAGTACCTGGTGATAGTTGAACCAAGTATCTAGAGAAAGAGAACGGGAAGGAGAGATCGTGAAACATTACAGCAGAATGGCTGTCGTCAGCCAGAAGACTGGGAGATAAGGGAAATCATAGCAGCTGGCAACTATTTAAGCTGCTAGAGCAGGGCAATGAGGTAGCCTCATCTCCCTTGGTGGACCGGCCCTCTCCTCCTTGAGCCTGCCCCAATGTGCCCAAGAAACTCCAAAGATGCTTCATACCAACAGAAAAGAGGAAGGGATCCAATCCAATGGTTTCTCCAGCGGGAACTTCCTTGAGTATCCATTGCCCAATGGAGTTAATCCACACTGCAAAAGAAAGGACATTTGGTGAGCCGTGCCCTCTTTCTGTAGATTAGCAGAAGGACTAGATCAGGGGTAGGCAACCTTGGCTGGCTCAGGAATTCTGGGAGTTGAAGTCCATGAGTCATAAAAGAGCCAAGGTTGCCTACCCCTGGAACTAGATGGTTGCAAGCACGGACCAACGCGGCAGGAGCTGACTCCCATTTCAGTGTCCACCAGAGCTAGCCCATGGGAAGGACCATGGAACAGCCATTGACCTCTGGCTGAGCAGTCAGAAGATCCAGGTCTGATTTCTAGGCCTTCCAGGGAAAGCTGGTAAACTGCCATCCACGTAAGCAATACTGAGTTAGAGAAACCAACAGTCTGATTCAAGAGTTAGAAGCTATTTCCTACAGTCTTAGGGCAAAAAGGCATAAAATGAGAGCCTTCTTGATTTATTGTGGTGCCCCTTAGCGACAGACCTGAAAAGGTGAATGGATTAGACAAGTTCAAAGCCAGAATGGGTTATCAGCACCACCAGCTTCACCTCCCAAGATTCTTGCAGTCTCTTCCTACAGAGGCTGCCTGTTCTCCTGGCTAATGGGTCCATCTTCTTTCCTGAGGTTCCAACTGCTGAAGGAGAAGGAGCTGTCCCCTACTCTGTTGTTTTCTTCTATTCTGGGAGTTGAACTTGGTTTGGATCAGAGGGCCTAACAAATAAATGGCAAAGCAGCAAAGAAAAAGAAGAGATGGCCTTTTGCTCAAGACAACTCTACAATGAGAGCATTTGGCCCATGATATCTCAAAAGGAGCATGTTCCAGTTGACGTCCAGACTTTTTAAAGTTGCCGAGGGCTTTAAACACTGTCCTAAAGCCATTTTCTCCAAACTTCTTTTCTTTGGATGTGTTGGGAATCACATCTCTCAGAATCCCCTAGTAAGAAGACTGGGGGATTCTTGTTCTGCAGCTTCTGCAGTGGTCCTTGACTCTTCATTCCTTCAAAGACACAATACTGTATTGGAGCCAATCATGTAGTTTACAACAAAGCATCTGTTTCTTGCTTTACTTATGCTAACCCCCTTATGCTATGTTGTCTCAGCGACATCAATGGTACCCAGCTCACATTGTCTTCTGGCTAGGAGATTCTGAAAGTTGAAGGAAGTAAGTTTGGAGAAGATTCCTTTAGGATGGTGTTTGAAGGAAGTAAGTTTGGAGAAGGTAGTAAGGAAGTAAGTTTGGAGAAGATCCCTTTAGGATGGTGTTTGAAGGAAGTAAGTTTGGAGAAGATTCTTTTAGGATGGTGTTTGAAGGAAGTAAGTTTGGAGAAGATTCCTTTAGGATGGTGTTTGAAGGAAGTAAGTTTGGAGAAGATTCCTTTAGGATGGTGTTTGAAGGAAGTAAGTTTGGAGAAGGTAGTAAGGAAGTAAGTTTGGAGAAGATCCCTTTAGGATGGTGTTTGAAGGAAGTAAGTTTGGAGAAGATCCCTTTAGGATGGTGTTTGAAGGAAGTAAGTTTGGAGAAGATTCCTTTAGGATGGTGTTTGAAGGAAGTAAGTTTGGAGAAGATTCCTTTAGGATGGTGTTTGAAGGAAGTAAGTTTGGAGAAGGTAGTAAGGAAGTAAGTTTGGAGAAGATTCCTTTAGGATGGTGTTTGAAGGAAGTAAGTTTGGAGAAGATTCCTTTAGGATGGTGTTTGAAGGAAGTAAGTTTGGAGAAGATTCCTTTAGGATGGTGTTTGAAGGAAGTAAGTTTGGAGAAGATTGCTTTAGGATGGTGTTCCTCAACCTTGGCAACTTTGACACGGGTGGACTTCAAATCCTAAAGCCGACAAACACTCCTTTAGGATATCGCTTTCCTGGCCGAGAGATAATGGGCAGCACTGGAGCTGAAAAGAGAGGACGTGAAGGTCTAAGACAAAGTTAAGAGAAAGACAAACCAGATTTTTGCAGCTCCCAGTTGCAGTCCATCTGACGTTCAGCCTGGATCCAATAGCGGCTGTCCGTGAAGAGAGCGGCTTTCTGCAGAGTGATCACGCCAGTCCCTAAGGATTAAATTCTAAAATCAGAGGCTCTGAAGACAAAAATCTATTTGAAAAACAACATTTCTTTTTTTACATTTCGCTTTCACGGCTGTTTCCCAGGATGTTGTTTTCTGTTGGTGACGAAGGGACACGCTGCGTAAACTTCATAGCATGCGAATCTTTATTATAAATTAAGATTTTGGGGCCTCAATTGAGAGTAGGTGCTAAACTCCTTGAAATCCAGCTCCCAAAGAAGGTGGGAATATTTTGCCAATTAATACTATGAATGAGTTTTAAATCTCCAGTGCGCCTTTTCTGAAACCTGCTAATGTCAGACTAGCGAAAGCTGCCGAGACATTTTTAGTTTACGTACATATGTAGCGATCGGATGACAGATGTGGGAAATTACACGTGGGAGGTTTATGTCTCCTTTTGTTGATTTTTTTTTTTAGAAAATGCACAGAGTGGGAATGCATCTAACACACTTAAGCATCTTGAACACATTAAATATAGCTGTTGCGCTGCAGTTCTGCCGAGGCAAGATTCAGTAAGAAAGAGCTTTTCATTATTATTATTATTATTTTGCATAAAGGCATTTGTTCTTTTTCTTTCTTAGACATAGTCATAATTCACCCAGGGGATGGAGTAATTTGATGTTGCATTTATCCTGGGATTGGAGACGAGCCATTGCAAGCCCAGCAAAATGGCTTTTGTGTGTCCAACACAGCAAAAAAAAATATGATCTATGTTGCTCAGCCTTGCCCTGGAATTAGGGTGCAACTGTACTATTTTCAAGGAAGTTACAATGGTAAGGATGTTTGAGCGGGATGTACAGATCACACTTTATTTTTTTCTGAATTCATAGTTCCTTACGATCACAATTGAGCGGAAAATTTCTGTTGCTGGGTGAGGCGGTTAAGTGAATTTTGCCTCGTTTTATGACTTTTCCTTGCCACAGTTGTTAAATGATTCCTTGCCGTTGTTAAAGTTAGTAACCCGGTTGTTAAGTGAATCCGGCATTCCCCGTGGACTTTGCTTGTCAGAAGGTTTCAAAAAGTGATCACGTGACCCCAGGACTCTGCAACCGTCGTAAATATGATTCAGTTGCCAAGCATCCGAATTTTGATCACGTGACCACGGGGATGCTACAAGGGTCGTAAGCGTGAAAAACAGTCATAAGTCACTTTTTTTCAGTGCTGTTGTAACTCTGAACGGTCACTAATTGAACTGTTGTAAGTCAAGGACTACCTGTATTTAATCACTGGCGGGCATTCAGAATAGCTGTTATTTTGATTCCTGAGGATCAACTAAGAAATTTAGGGTTTGAGGGTTGCTGGAGGTCTGGGAGACGACTCACCTTCTGATCCTGAAAAGCCCGTCATCCAACTGAGTCTCTTGTCCCGTTCTGCGACATATTCACTCTGGAAGATGGGAAGGTTTTCAGAAACAAGCGACGGCCCCTGGCTGCTTTACGCAAACGTCATCCCAGGCCTATCTGCATTCTTCGCTTTTCGGAAAACCCAACACTGTTCTCCAAGCTTGTTTTAAAATAATTTCTGAACCTTTCGTTACCAAACTAGATCGCATCATCAACAGGATGTTCTTGTCTTGTTCTCCTTAGCTCACAAATGTCTTGTGTGCCAGTGTGGTCCGTTGGTTGTGGGATTGGCTGTTTGTTTGGAGCTATATGTTTGTTTCCAAACAAACAGCCAATCGCACAACCAACGGACCACACTGGCACACAAGACATTTGTGAGCTCAGGAGAACAAGACAAGAACATCCTGTTGATGGTGTGACCTAGTTTGGTAACGAAAGGTTCAGAAATTATATTAAAGTAAGCTTGGAGAAATCTAAAACCCGAGCTACAAGTATTTTCTATCATTTCAAACTCAACACTGTCTTAGTAGACTACATGAGCAATCTTTTGTAGCCAGGTCTAGCCCTCTACGTGGACTTCCTAGAAGGGCAAAAGCTGAGTTATGCCAGAAATTGGAATTTGGGGTTACATCAGGGCTTCCTGTCTATGGAGATTCTCAGTCATCCAGCCATAATTGTCCCAAAGATGCTTTTACATGAGGCAACTGGACTTTCTTGTTTTTCTTTTGAAGATGTTTTGCTTCTCATCCAAGAAGCTTCTTCAGCTCTGACTGGATGGTGGGAAGCTTCTTGAATGAGAAGAAAGAAAAACAAGAAAGTCCATTTGCTTCGTGGAAAAGCATCTTTGGGACAATCAGGGCTTCCTCTCCTGTTTCTGTATATTTACCACTTGAGTAACTGTTTGCTCTGTAAGGAAGATCAATTCTGAAGGCTTCACCTCTGAGCCTACAAGTTGTTCATCCCATGGCGGAAGTTCAACCATGATTAGGGCTCTATTTCCTTGCCTCACTGCTCCATCCCTGGATCAGGTGGAGCTGTTCCTGTCTTCTTTAACTTACCAGGTGTGCATCTGTGTTAGGCACAATATAGGCTGACAGCTTGTGGGTTTTCATGTGCTCACGTAGGGTCTTCAGCCGCTCATCCGTCACAATAACCGTGGGAGGCAAGTACTTATAGCACAGCGAAGCACGGCGGCAGGGGGTTAGAAGAAGGAAGAGAGGAACAGAGGGATAGAGAGGTTAGCACCTGTATGGTTACCTTTGTGTATAACCACCACCCAGCTGATTCTGGAAAGCTAAACAGGATCAGAGTTATTTAGGACTGGAGGGTGACCAGATCAGGAGAAAATCCCAGGGTGAGATTGGGAAGTTAAGAGAAGGATGCACCGCCAATTCTGTTTCCTTGTCATAAAAAATAACCTGGCTTATGAACTGCAAGACCCATCCAATCAGTTGGGTAGGCAGGCAGCATACAAACGATGGCCGATAAATAAATACAACAGGGCATCCATGAAGTCTAGGAGCTGAGCTAGGAATTGAGGAAAGGGTCTCGGCTTCTTATGAAAAGAATGCACAGCTTCGGGGTTGATTGCCCTCCATATTTTTTTTTTTTT